TTTTTAAAAATCTGCTATTATATACATGATAGGCAGTGGCAGACACAATTTTCCCGATCGATCTTGATTTACCTAGATAATAGCTAAATAGATATTTTCCTTACGTAGGTGACAGACAGCTGCCAGGAAAAAATTTCATGCGAACAATCCAGTGAAATGTCTAGATCAGGGAGATTTTTCCTGGGATTTTTCGCTGGAAAATTGATGACAGACAGCGAATTATCTAGATAGCTATTTTCTAGATAATTGGCCTCTGTTTAACACTGCCTTATTTTTGAAATACCATAATTTATTATAAATTCTCAATGGAGAGAGAGATGATTTCATGTAACATACAAGCTATATCAATCATCATACTTCATGCTCAAAGCCAGAATGATGTTACCCTCTACTTGAGTATCTTAGCATTGCATTAATGCCTTTCTTCTTCTGAACAAAAAAGGACATGATTATGCATGATACATTATATAGATCTAGCAAACACTTGTAATACATATATACCAGCAAAAATGACGTGGATTTTATTTACTTAACCGCACAAAATGTTCGCATATTATAAAGTTATATCTCCATATTAAAATATATGGTTTTGTATTGTTGTGGGTAGTAATGCATTTAATTTGATTACCTTATATCATCAAAACATATAAAATTATAGTGATTGCATAGTTAGACTATTAAGGATGTTCTTGCTATTTTGGGTATGGGTATTATAACAGGTACTATAATGTTACATATTAACAGCACATAATATAATAATAATACAGTATCAGCCAAAGTGTATCAAAGTTCAAGTCCATTTGAGATGCACATCTATCCATCCTACTTAGTATCGTTTTCATTGTTATGATTGAAACCAAGCCGAGTACTCCAGCAGTTCCTGGTTCATAGTATGACCTTATTTGTCTTTTAGAAAAAGTTTCCATGGCATCTAAATTTAGGATGGAGGAAGATGAGCATATGAATTATGAAGCTCTATAACATTAAACATAATTTTTGTCATGAAGGCCATGTAAGTTTGAACCAAATATCTTCTAATTGGCCTAAAAGGTTCGGTAGGAGGAAATATATTTGTTTAAATTGCAATCATCTTCTTCAAGTACTGGCCCATGGAAAAAATATAGCCTTTCATTTTTGCTGGTTTCATTCATGTGATGTGCCTTGTTTCAGTCTTGTGACAGTCTTGTGACGTGCCTCGTTCGCTCGTAAAGGCATAAAGGCAGCCAATCATTGCCCATTATTTTTCATGTGATTTGTCCATTTAGCTTTCGCTTGTATTGTCAGATTCCGGCTTTTTGTTCATTCTTGAGATTTACCCCGATGAGGGCAGACAAAAGCTTTAGTCGTCTGTTTTTGTTGCTATTTTTCAAAAGTGATTTTCTTAGATGGTATAAATAAATATTGGTCCCTTTGGGCCCAGAACTGTATTTTGTCAATGTGAAAGCTGGTGATACCCTTCTGGTTTCAAGCTCTGAAATGATCTGAACATCTGTTCTCTTCGTTCAATTATATGAATAAACACACCCTTCTGGCTCCAAACGGACAATGTGCCACAATGTTTGTCACTGCACCTTTTTTTTTAAAGGGATCGCTTAACAATGTTAAATCTGAGATGCACGGCCCTACGTGTTATCAGTGTCTGTGATATGGTGTTATATTGAAGCTCTAAAAAAAATTGCGCTTCAAAATGAGCAAGAAGTGCCTCAAAAAAGTAAAAACCTTGGAGTGACCGGTTTTACCATACTCATTTTCCCCAATATACTGTAGTGTTATGAAAACTGTTTTGCAAACGCAAAATGTGATTTTTATTTTCAATCATAAATATCTTGATAATCAGACAGGCGATCTGCTTGTAAAAGTCATGGGGTTCCTGACTGACCTAAAGATTTATAATTATCATTGCAGCATGAGCTAAATCAAGGATTTTTTTTAAAGGATCTAAGACAAAGTTACCGGATCCCTTTAAAGCTTGATTACAGGAACCATGACGGAAAGATTGTATCATGTGATATCAACAAACTCACTGAAGATTATCAAGACTCTGCAATTTTTGAGTTTCATATTTATGGTTGTTTTTAATGTATGCACTGGTCATCTCCTCTTTCAAGAGAGGCTATGCGGCCCAAAGGTCCCTATGAAGGCAATCAAAGCAAGTGCAGAATACCCCCCCCCCCCACAAGTCACCCAATCAAATCAAATCAAATTACCCTAACTCTACATGTCTGCAGTTAAATCCTGTATTCTATGGTCCCCAGTTACACTGTCAAATCAACTTGGGTCCTACTCCAAACCGACCAATCTTGGGCCATTGGGTCTCGTTTAAAGCTTGATTACAGGAACCATGATGGAAAGATTGTATCATGTGATATCAACAAACTCACTGAAGATTATCAAGACTCTGCAATTTTTGAGTTTCATATTTATGGTTGTTTTTAATGTATGCACTGGTCATCTCCTCTTTCAAGAGAGGCTATGCGGCCCAAAGGTCCCTATGAAGGCAATCAAAGCAAGTGCAGAATTCCCCCCCCCCCCCCACAAGTCACCCAATCAAATCAAATCAAATTACCCTAACTCTACATGTCTGCAGTTAAATCCTGTATTCTATGGTCCCCAGTTACACTGTCAAATCAACTTGGGTCCTACTCCAAACCGACCAATCTTGGGCCATTGGGTCTCGTTGGTATGAATGTGGTATCACATCGAGGAGCTGATGTCCTTCAGAATACTACTCCAAATAACCTTACAAAAACATTTTAGATATTTCCTGAAAGTTCACCCCATGATAATACAGTCAAACCTGCTGTAGTTACCACCTGTCTACAAAGGCCACATTTGTCGGTTCCCTTGAAAATGGTTTCTTATTGAATCATGTACTAAAGGAACCTGTCTACAAAGGCCATTTTTTGTTTCCCTTGGGCGGTTGCTATAGACAGGTTTGACTGTATTTGAATGGATAAAGACCTTGTATTTCTCAATATTATCTTCTGCTATATAAATGTGGGTGCTTGTGAGGATTAATTATGTTGGTTGTGTTTGGAAAGATCAATAAAGACAGTGAGTGGGGGAGCTCAGAAGAGGAAGTGGGTGATTAAATGTTGAATATACAGCTTGCTTGGGCAACGTATTCCGGCTCCTCAATCACTTTGATTACAGGCACAAGTCATATGCTCTGTTGAAAGATAGGAGGAAGTTAATTTATCTAAGGGACAGTACAGCGCTCTAGATAGGCACTATCTTATGTGAGTAACCAGAAGGGTGTAATGTCATTAACATGGAATTAACGACTTCTATCTCTAGACATATGATGTGTGAGTAGATGTAGATGTGAAGTGAAATGTTGAATAGAAGATGTACATGGATGTTTGGGAAAGGAGGAGGAGGGGGGGGGGGGCGTGTGCTAGGGTGAGAAGAGGTAGAAAAAAATAGTTACAGATGAAGGGGCACAAGTAACAGGAAGTCACAGGTGCATACCGGTACATAATGAATATATGTTACTTGGCACCATAAAACTATATATTTGTTTATTTAGGTCTTATTCTGAGGAAATTTTCCACTTTAAATTGATATATTCTTAATCACGATGGGATGTTCTTAACCCAATTAAAAGAGTCCACTCCCAAAGAATGTTACTTTAGTTTAAAATCTGTTGTCTATGTAATAAAGCACTCTGACTCCCAAGGTATTGTGCAAACTGCAAAGTGACAAAAGGAGGATATTAAATACTCTCTAAAAATTTCTGTGAAGAGTTAATGAGAAATTGTCCTCAAACTTGGCACACTCATTGAGGAAATCCTGATCTTTTGTTTGTTTTGGTATCAAAGCAACATAGAATCAAAATAATTTTTAAAAATGCATGGTGGCTCAGTCGTTAGAGCGCCCGCCTCATGAACGGGAGGTCGTGAGTTCGAACCCCAGCCGAGTCATACCAAAGACTTTTAACAATGGGACCTTCTGCCTTCTAGCTAGGCGCTCAGCATATTAGATTGGAGAAGGGTAGTAATAACATATTATGTTATGCAGGGCCCGCTGGAAAAACAGTTTCATAACTGAAGTGGCTACCCTGGGTAAATAAAAGTTATTATTAAATAAAAGTTATTATTATCATTGAGTCCACTCCCAAAGAATGTTACTTTAGTTTAAAATCTGTTGTCTATGTAATAAAGCACTCTGACTCCCAAGGTATTGTGCAAACTGCAAAGTGACAAAAGGAGGATATTAAATACTCTCTAAAAATTTATGTGAAGAGTTAATGAGAAATTGTCCTCAAACTTGGCACACTCATTGAGGAAATCCTGATCTTTTGTTTGTTTTGGTATCAAAGCAACATAGAATCAAAATCATTTTTAAAAATGCAGATCATTGTTTTCCAATATCCCACTCACATCCCACCCTCAAGCCCCCCTCCCCCTCCCTCCCTCCCATAAGTGTCCCACTTATCCTACATTGGTATAATCCTGGATCAATTAGGATTGACTTCAAGGAATCTGAAGGATTAGCAGCTCCATGACCTTGGTCAATGTAATGAATTGATTGGTGTCTATGAACAATTAGTATCAATTCAATCTCTCTAGTCTTATGATTCAGACCAAGTATAAGCTTAATTTTTATTGAGTTTTTTTCCACAGCTCTATTCATTGCATTAGAGGTGAGATTTTTCATTATTGATATTCATAATATCTAGGAAGTGTCATTATGTGTCAAAGTTTATATTTCATATGTTAAAGACATGTATGGTTGTGTCATTGTGAAGGAATGGGTATTGGTCATATCTTGCACATCATGCAGGCAAGTGTACCATCTTGCATCTACATTTAAAGGCCCACTGCACTACTTGTAGCTACTTGCGCCCTCTATATAACAAACAATGCCTAATCGGTGACCATTGGTCCCCCATGATCCTCTTTTTCTTATGTTAACTGAGAGCTGAGTTGATGAGATAACCACCTGTCAAGTGACTTTGCAGGGCAGTCTAATCCCTTCTGTAATGTACGGCAGATAAGCTTTAAATCAAGTGGTCATGACGAATAAGGATTCGCTCTTCAACCCATCTTAGAATGGACAATCTGTGGACGAGGACTGGATTCCAACTAAAGTAGGTCCATTCTGGAATGCCCGACCTGAAATAAGACTAGGTCTGAACTCACAATTAGTGATTACCATTGAAACATACATAACAAAGGAGAGTACTGGCATGTACTATACAAGGTGATTAAACTTGTTTCTTTTCAACACATTTCCTGTCCCTAATCTCCCAGCTTGATGATATTGAAGAGCAGGATCTATTATTATTTGGGTCACTGGGTCTGATTACAAAAAGGAAAGTGGAGGTAATAGCACTTTTTATTGGAAACCAACAGGATTTTAGCTGGTGATGTAATCTTCTCCATTGTAAATTGACTGGATATGTACCATTCAACATTGTTTTGAAGCTGATTCAGTTTGTTCATAATCCTAGGGCTAGTACAGGATTTTCAGTCGGACTGAAGTGGACTATATACTCACCTAGACATTTCTGTGGATGTATTGTTGAGGTTACCATCACTTATGCCTCTAAGAATCAAACAAGAGACAAAGTAGAGAGTAACACAACTGTGTTGGATTCGTTAAGAAGTATCTGCATGAGATCGAGGGGAAAACATGTGAACTACGCTCACTTTGATTTAGCAGAAGCTCTTCACATTGTTGCATATTCTATCAAGATTTCAAGTGAAACTGAGGTGGAATGCTAGAAAGTACTATCTAGAACTTGACTGTGGAGAGGACATGAGTATTTCATTGATGATTCAGGGGAGCTAAGAAGCTAGATTGTGATGAGGAAAGTGGAGACAAAGTGGCTCCCAAATGACTGACAGGCTGCATGTTGCTCTGAATACAGATGAACGAAACATCTCAACGTCGTCGTGTAGTACTGTCCTCAAGACTCTAGGACCACTCTCACTACAGACCCCCATTCAACTTTTGATGACATTGAGTTCAGACCGGAAGAGAAGTAAAGCATCTTCAAGTACACAAAACCAGAATACATGCCAGCGAATATGCAACAGGATTGAATACCTAATGGAATAATGTTCTGAATCAGCTAACTGATTTGGGTTAAGGTTGTAGCAGACTTGAATATTTATTAGCAGTAGGAGGATATAGAGAAAATACATTGGAGCTCTCAACTCAAGAGGCCTGGTGCATGTTGCCCCTGTCTGGGAGGAAGATATTGCCCCCTCCTATTCTCGCAGATACTCTAGAGGAGATGAATAAGGAATACTAAACAGGACAAAATGTTTTTTCCTTTGTGTCTTGAAGACTTTTCAGTTTGAGAATTGTGTTCACATCCAAAGGAGGGTACAGTGAACTGTGACCTCCCACTTTCCAAATTGATATAATAATCACTTTTTAATCATAAAATATGCTCTCTAATGATTCAGCAGAAGGAAATAAAATATTGATTTTGCCATATAGTAGGAGGGAAAAGTTTTTCTTGGGAATCTGAGAGAGCTAGGCTTCTGAGAGAGGCTTCTGCGGTTCTGTTGAACTATGCTTTTGCATTAGAAGTCTTCCCAACTTGAATCGGAAAACTTCTGGAATCATTAGAAACAGATGTGAGAACAACATACACCCGAGGATTAAAAACTATAGTTAAATCATATTGAGGTATATAATAGTGGGGAAAGGAATTTCCTGTTAATGTCCTATCGCCCTTACCATTGCAACTTTACTTTACTTTACTGCTAAAGTGCTACACGTATCTATGAGCAAAAACTTGACTGTTGGTCAGCTGATTTTTCTATTAGTTGAACCCTTAGTGGGAAAAGAGTAGAAGATGAATTCGTGGCCTGGTACAATAGGTACCCTTTTCCAGCATTTATTAGCTCCTATGAGAGGAAAACCTAAGCCTGCACCAGTTGATATTGTTGTTTCAGAGGAACCTGATGTAGCAAATTGGGAAGCCATCTTGGAGAAACCAAGAAAATCAGTGTGGTAAGTGTAAAGAGATTGTTGTCTTTGTATTCAGTGGGGTAAAATACAGATTTGTCTAAGCTATATACAGCTGTACTGCTTGCTGTATAAAAAAAAAAGTATTTAAATAATTCAATAAACAAATTCAACATATATTTCAAACTTCCAATTAATTTCAGGCTGAGCACTCATGTCCAGGGGGGTGTTTCACCAAGATCCTAAGTTGAACTTAACTCTAAGATGGACTTAAAAATTATGGTGAGCCATTTGTAGCCTTAAAATGAAATACATTCAAAAGCGAAAATTCAAGTATTTTAGAATTTTTATAAATTCCACATCAAGAACATGAAATCACCTTGATAATAGAAAATATGAATGATTTGAATTAACATTTTATGCCTTTTAAAATAACTTTTACAAGTATTTTCAAAGATGCTAACGGCTTTCCATAACTTTTAAGTCCAACTTAGATATAAGTTTAACTTAGGATCTTTGTGAAACACCCCCCCCCCCCCCAAGGAATAAAACGCAATGTCTCTTATATCAAATTGGAACATCCCCACCCCCCCCCCCCCATCCTTTAATTTAATCTATAATCATGTCTCAGTGAAATTATCATCATCGGAATACGGGAGTGAGGTAGTCCTGTAGGTCTCCCGGTCGTGTTCCAAGTTCAATTGTCAGTATGCGACTTAAGACGTAATGCGTGGATGTCAGGTTATATGAAATTGTTTAACAAGCCAGTGTTTATCTAGACCAGTTTTAAAGATACCTATGTTGCGAGCAGTATAAAATATATATATTGAATCTGTTTTCAGCCTTTGCTAGTTGTCAAATAGATGTAGATGTAATGATTGATTTCAATTCATGGATAAAGGTGTGATGATCTACTAGAGACATATTAATTTAATTTGTCATCTTAGAGAACAGCATTTCCTCCATTGCGTAATTTAAGATTTGACATTGTACTCTCTAAAAAAAAATTGAGTTATCACGGACGTCACTCCTCTGGAGAGTGAAAATGTAGTGAAAATAGAGTGAACATTCACTTTTTTCTTCCTAGAGAGCACTCTAAAATCAATCGATTTTCACTCCTAAACAAGTGATCATGGACGTCACTCCCAAGAAAGTAAAAAATAGAGTGAAAATTCACTCTTTTTTTTAAAGAGAGTACATTCGTAGCTTTTGTCTGGATGAAGGATGTCTGGAGAAATCTTTGAAGGGGATATAAGTCAAGGGGATGTTTTTATAAGTTCATCTGTCTGGTTAGCTTGCCTAGCTATCTGATATATGCTCATCTGTCTGGTTAGCTTGCCTAGCTATCTGATATATGCTCACCTGTTTACATCAGCTAATGAAGCTTCACATAAATGTTTGCCTCCTTCAGACATGTTTAAACAACATGTCAGCTGCTGATCCTGAGAGCCATAAGGGCAGTAACTCATCCTAAAATGACCTGCCTTTCTTGCTCTCGATCGATCGTAGACCATTTGTGACATCAAGACGTTCTTCATATCGGACAATTACTGTAATTGGGCGTAGGGTACAAATACAAGCGAGGCAGATGTTCAAATCAATCAAGCTAATGTGTTATGTTTACATTTATCTAGCTTGCGCTTTTATTTAAAGAAATTGTTTCTGATGGGATTCAAGCTACTTTCAGCTACATGTATGTAGTTTGCAGGTAAATGCTCCATTTTATTTGTCATCCCCAATTTTGAAGGTGCATGAAGCATAAGTTATGTAAATAGGCTTTTAAATGGTTTCCCACATGAGACCAGGCACCGCAAAACCACAAGAAATCATTGCATGGTGTGATTTTCAATTAGATTTTAATATTGTTGCATTTTTCATGTGTTTTTTTTTAAAATAATTTCCTGAAAGAGTACTTTTTTCTGTGTAATTTCAATATTTGGAATCACACACAATATAAAATTGGCATTGTGGAAAATATACAGACCTAAATCTGTCTGGTCTTGAGTCTGTTCTACAATGTAGTTTTGGTTTCATTTATGACCATGGCTACTAGTCTCATTTGGATTTCTAATAACTTTAAAACAGAGTAAGCTATTGCCTTGATACCAGACAAAAAAAAAAAAAACATGATGTTCTTGATTAGCACGTTCAGTTTTAGGATAATTATTAGTATTAGTATATAAGTATTATCCTCCTTGAGTCAGAGTACTTAAACTGATCAATAGACAACAAATTTTAAATGCCCCTTTTTTTTCTGAAGTAACATTCTTGGGGACTGGACTCTTTTTTTTTCTTTTTCTTTCTTTCTTTTTTTTTTGGGGGGGGGGGGGGTTGGGGGTAGTAACATCCATTTATGAAGATTAACAAATAATTTTAAAGCTGAAAATCTCCTCTTTCAGAATTAGACCTAAACTTTTTTCCCACTATCAATTCTATGGAAAGTACATGTATCTTTCAAATTACCAATTAATCACTTATCAGTGCATGTGTTGCACATCTCTGTGAACATGATAAGAGTACTCTTGTAAGTTTTATTTGTTTATCAATCCATCACATAAAGTACCTATATCTTATCTCCTGTCTCCTTAGACGTTGGAATAATATACTTTCTTAATATCTCTAATGCATGAAGGTTCAGCTGAGATAAAACCATCATGTATCACTGTCTCCTTGTGTAAACTAAACACAATCCATAATATTTAGGTGTCTGAGGTCAGTCCTTGCATATATAGTTTGGCTGAGTGGATATTACCCTGCCCATGCACTCCTTCCCATTACCAAAATCTATCCTGTGGCTATAAGAAAATAGATTGGCTGTAATAAAGTAGTGGATGTTTTCTTGTCTAAACATTGTATAACAAAACATCATAGAGAAACGTATAGTAAAACGTATCGTTCTGGATTGAACTTCGTATCGCACCATATAACGCTTCATACCATATAACTTGGCAGGGCTTATCATGAGCGCGGACTCGCGGAGTGATGATTTGCTAGCTGTCGTGTCAAATGACCTCTGTCAAAACTAGTTTCTTTATACACAGTTTTTTTTATCCTGTGTTTTTCACTATAAAGTGACTCTTTATTTGACATTTCTTTATACAAGTTTTGTATAAATGTCCACTATAGTCTGATTAGGTTATTAGAAAGTCCAAGGTCAGTCCATAGATGTCAACCTGAACTGATTGGCTTTATCTAATCACTAGCTGCTCTTTCCCAATAATGTGTTTATACTGAACTTCAGGACGTACGAGTCCAGGCTACCGGTATATGTAATTATATTCAAGAATTACGAGGGTTTTCTGTTGGTAAAAGTGTAAACACTGCCCCCTATAGTCTGTGAATGCTTACTTTTTTTTATAAATTCCTTGATGGCTTCCCTCATGTAGATGAAGATGTAGTATCAATGTGCCCCCCCCCCTTTCACAACAAGCTAATACACTTTGTTTTTAATGGACCTTTTAGTAGCTCTTTACCATAGTAGAGTTGTGAACACTGCCCCTAGAGTATGGTATGGGCATATAAACTGTGGTACTGTAAGCTCTATGTTTTGACATACAATTAAACAGTAGGCCTTTATGTGTAGTTCTTTTAAAGACCCACTGCACTACTGGTAGCTACTTGCGCCCTCTATATAACAAACAATGCCTAATCTGTGACCATTGGTCCCCCATGACCCTCTTTTTCTTATGTTAACTGAGAGCTGAGTTGATGAGATAACCACCTGTCCAGTGACCTTGCAGAGCGGTCTAATCCCTCCTGTAAACTACGGCAGATAAGCTTTAAAAGCCTTTTGAATTGTAAAAATGTACCCCCCCCCCCCCAAATAAAAAAATAATATATGACAATACCATATGTTTCAGAGATATGTGTCTTGCAATGCCTCTTAGATAATCAACTACTTCATAGACCAAAAAATATAACAACAAAAATAGTTTGTGTTTTCATGATATTTAAATTTTACCAAACCTCAATCAGTAATTTGGTACAGGTATATATTATTGCAAGGAGTAAGGGTGATAATGTGGATATATTATTTGCTCTACAGTAAGAACACATTTCTTGCAAAACAGAAGACATGTTTCTGCTTATTTATGCTCCATGCATATGTATACCATACACAATGTTCCTGGTGAAGTTTCTGTACTAGAACATGTTTAGCCCATCCATCCATCATACCTTGTCTGCCTCGTGTAGTATTCTCCTTGCTGTCGTAGACACCTGTCAGCTGCTAGGCCTATCATGTACCCTGAATTTTACTCAAATTCTGTGAGTCAAATTTGATTTACTTTTCAGTTATAGAAGAAATTAAACGACTTTATGCTGTGTATCTTTACCTGTCATCCTATGTAAGCTAGAAGTAGCAATTTGATTACATCATACTCTTCTCCCCCCCCCCCCTCTTCTCCCCCCCCCCCTTTCTCCCTCCTCTCCCTCCTCTCCCTCCTCTCCCCTCCCTCTTTTATCTCTCTTTTTATCTTTCTCTCTCCCTCTCTTTCTCTCACTTTCTCTCTTCCTGCTATCTTTATCTCTTTGACTTTCTTCTTCATTGTCTTCTCCTTTCCATATTTACATCATGCGATCCTCTTGACATACCTCTCATCTTCTCTTCTCTATCCCTCATTCCTAGTTTCTCCTCCACTCCCTCCTTTTTCTCCTCCACTCCCTCCTTTGTGCCCATCTTTTTCTCTTTTTTCAATCTCTCAAGCGACATTCATTCATATGCCATCCTCGCCCTCTGCAGGCAAATCCTGATGTTGTAATAATCCCCCCAAATAGTGTTTCAAACTGTCTAAGGGCGCGTTCATGCTTGATTTTGAAGGCAGAATGAGCGATTTGTAACGCTCATCGTAAACGCTCATCGTAATCGCAGTTCCACGGTGCACTGTTCATGCTCACTTCTCCAGGCAATTCTCCTTGGGTGGCCTTCAGCTGGATTCGCAAACCTGTGTGCGCATGCTACGTAGACCCACTAGAGGTCAGTGCGTTGACCCCATTTAAACGCGTTAACAAATTGTAAACGCATCTTTTTGTGAGTCTACGATCGG